ATATGTAGTGCAAACACCGACAAACCGATATGACTGACCATAGCAAAAACAATAAATTTTCTGACCAAAGCACTTTACTGACATCTGGCTCCGTGTTCGCGGGAAATATTTAGCTAATCCATGAACCCGCATGCATAAGTTATGAATTGGTTCGTGTCTGATCTAATCTGGACAAATTATTTTGATCTAGATCAAAAAAATCTTATGGGTTTGACAGTTCGGATCACTGCACATTTAAATCGGCCGTTTACGATTTTCGGGCATATGTCAGAATTGAGTGTCATGTCGGTTTGTCGATGGTGCAAAGTCCGTGAGTGGTCGGAACAAACGTGTTTGCTCTTAGTTCTTTTAATAATTTGAAAATCTATTATCTTAACTCCTTCTGTATTTGAATTGGTTTCCCTGAAAAGGGCCATTTGTTTGTTGGTTGTTGGGCCTGAAAAGGCAAATCCACTCGACATTGCTTCACGACGCCGATGATGGTGACGATGTAACGCGAAACCCTGGCAAAGTAAAATAACAACCTGAAAACAAGTCTTCACACTTAGAAATACCTAATTTTACACGTGACGGAATCCATCTTTGACATAAAGGATGAGACGTAAACAAACATGTCATGTAAAATTAAGTGCTCCGAGACTGAAAAGTTCGTTACTCGACGAAAAGTACGTTTGATTGAGCTGAATTTTGCGTCTATTATGACTCAATTTTGTGTCATCATTGACGCTCGTATATGACAGTTTCAGAGCACCTAAATTCACATGAATTTTTCTAAGTATGTTGTTATCCCAGATATCATTTTGTTTTCACAGATCTTGTTTTCAATTTGGTATAATCCTTTGCTTGGGAATGCACTTAACGACGATGGCTTAGAGCGGTGGATCTCATGACACATCTGTGGCCGATCAGAAGTGATGCAACATTTTTACTACGGGCTGGAGCGTTCCTGGTTGCAAGTATATGGCAACATTCACACCAGACCAAGACGGGCTCCGGTTAGCATTGAATTGGAATGTTGTGAAATAACCGGCGCCGGTGGTGTAGTAGTAAGCGTGACTGCTTTCTAACACCCCAATGGGTTCAATCCTAGCCGAGGTCGGTGGGATTTTTCTGAGGCATAAAAATCTCTGGTCACGTCTTCCTTCGGAAGGGAAGTAAAGCCGTTTGTCCCGGCCCATCTGTGTTGAATGGGTGCGATATCCTACGCAGCTGTGGAAGCTGCCTTCCTGCACATTCGATTGCCGTCAATGGATGGCAATCGATGTCCGTCGGTGATTGGCACTAGATTGCGGAACAGAGACCGTCGTTAAATAAAGGAAAGAAGAAGAAGAAGATGAAATAACAACTAGCGCTACTTGACTCTTTCACGCCAGTGCAAGTCGAAGCCGACCGGATGACGCCTATAGCGGGAAACCTTTCCTCCGGTGGATGTGGGTGCATTCGTCGTCGTCTTCTTTTTGGTACGATACGTGCTGTTCCACGGTTATCCGTACGTTGCTTGAAAGTAATTGACGAAGAAAACGATTTGGCAAGCGTTTTTATTTACCGCTGCTTTTCTCCTTCCTTCTTTTGATTGGTGAAATGGTGAGCGGTCAACCGAGCATTGAGATCGCTCTCGTGAGCATGCGCAGTGTTTTGTTTGTGCGATTTGCGCTCTATCTTTTCGTCCGTGTTTGGGATTTTTGAACAAATTTGCTTGAAATTAGTTGAGGTATAGCTTTTCTGAAGAACGTCCCAACAAACATTGAAAGCAAAATAAGAGCTTATTCAGTCAAAAACTAACTTTTACAGCTAAAAAGATGCTTATTCAGCCTTTAATCAGCTCAGGTTGATTTACGCAAACGAAAAAAAATACATTTTTTATTTCACAGGAGCAACTTTGCAGAATTTTTTTTCAATTTCAGGCTCTAATTGCATCTTGCCTGCTAAATTCCCATTCTGGACCACTGTGCATTGTATACGAAATATGGGTATCTGTCACGGATTAGCAATTAAGGTAGTATAATTAAATGGAAATTACTAATCTATCTCTCTTTCTCAATATAGGAATTCACTATAGACGCCCACATTCATCAGGATATAAAATAACTGTTTTTGCTTTGGTGCGGATTTGATACCCTTGGTACGGATGAACAAATCTCGTGTGATTTGCGGAACGAAAATTGGGATTTCCGAAGCAATATTTATTTATTTATTTATTTATTTATTTCGTCAACCAACGTAGACTAGTACAATTAATTAATACAGTTTTGTTTTCTTAAATATATATTTATATAAAAAAGTAGTGTCAGCTTTCTTGTCTTTTCTTTTATGAGTTGTTATTTCTTATGGAATAAAAATATTGCTTTAGTTTATGCCGAGACATTGTAAAGTCAATGGTTTCGCAGTGTTTATTGTAAGAGACCATCATGCGGTTTAATGGCCCATATTTTGCATAATTTGTGCGATGATGTTTTATGGCAAATAAATTTCGATTTCGGAGTTGCCGAGTGGGTGCATGGAAATTTAATTTTGATAAAAGTTCTGTTGAGTCAATTCGCTGCGAAACGATATCATTTACAAATGAAACCATTGCATATTCACGACGCTCTTTTAATGTTTGTATGTTTATAAGCATGCAGCGTGCTTCATATGATGGAAGAGGAAATGAAGTCCAACCTAATTTACGAAGAGCGTATAATAGAAATTGTTTTTGTACTGATTCTAATCTTTCTTCGTGCGTGATTGAAAATGGAGACCATACAATGCTGCAATATTCCAGTATTGACCTCACATAGGCAATATATAGTGTTTTAATTGTGTAAGGGTCCTGAAAGTTATAGCAAAAGCGCTTGATAAAGCCTAGCATGTTATTTGCCCTGTGAATAATTGTATTGTAATGGTCTATGAAAGTTAGCTTAGAGTCTAAGATAATTCCTAAATCCCTAACTCTTTCACATTTGTCTACAGTTTGATTTCCTAATGCAATTGAAATATTTGAAGTTGTTCTTTTTCTACTAAATGATATTAAGTTACATTTTTTTACATTCAATTCTAGTAGACTTTTTTTGCACCATATGTAGAATATGTGTATTTCATTCCGGAATATATTGATGTCTTCTTCATTTGTTATTTCCAAAAAGAGCTTCATGTCGTCGGCATAAATAAGCAATTTAAGTTTTTTGAGAATGTAATATTTATTCAATTACAGATTCAAACAAAAATGCGCCTGAAAGCAAAGGCATAAAATTAACTTGTGGCCCATTCCTCCATGAAACTCATAATCTTTTCACGATCCATAATTACCTAGATTAAATTCATTACTCAAAACTTTTTGAACCCAGATTTTACCTTACCACTCCCACCACGGCCTCACACGGCTAGCCACAACAATCAAAATGGAGATAATTGCAAAGATTAAAATATAATATATTAATTAATTCGTTCAACCCAAATCCCACCCACGCACCATGGATGAGAACAGAACCGAACAGAGTAAACCAGAAGCGCTATTGTTGCATTTTGACCGTTTCTTATAGGAAAAAATGAGAATCCCCCTTTTGTGACGATCTGGGAATACGGGAAAGTGGGGAACTTGCACACTTAGATTTTTTCGCCGAGATGGGCACCACCGAGCAGCTCGGCATTTTATTTTGCTGGATCTCAGTGAAAAACTTGCCGAGATTCAGCTAGCAAACGGGAATTTTGCCGAGATCTCAGCTAACAAACATATTTTTTGCTGAATTTCTAGCAAAATAAAATACCGAGCTGCTCGGTGGTGCCCATCTCGGCAAAAAATCTAAGTTTGGGATCCCCCTGTTTTGATTTTTCTCAATACCTAAGCCAGTAATGTGTAGATACAATCTTTTTGTCAATGCGAATCCCAATTCAATGGCCGTCTTTCTGAAATTTGGGAAAGTGAACTTGATCCCTTATTTTATAAAATTAGTTGATATCTAGTATTCGAATAAACAAGAGTTTCATTGACAGTAATTGTTTCTTAGGAGTATGTTTTACGTGAAAAAATAAAGAAAGTGACTCAATCTATATTATAAGTATATAATCAGAAACATCATAAGCAATAAGAAGATAAAATTAAATCTGTAAATGTCAGATCGGAAATACAATTAATAAGTGATTGTTTGAGTGCCTTTTCTATCAGGCGAAAACAAGAAAATTGTTATTTTCACATATTGCAAAATATGTAAAACATTATATATAGAAACTCTATACGATATTGAAGGTAATATATTAAGCTACAAAATTGGAAATGGTGCAGAGAGTAAATTTAATCATTATATTATCCTATCAAAGCTACCCGCAGTATCCCCCCGTTTTACGGCACTAAAAGCAGAAAGCATTTCTGACATTAACAGTCTCCAACCCGGAAAAACAACGAATAGCCATTATTCATCCGCCAACTAAGCAGAATCTTTCAAAAATATTTCAGATAATTTCTTATCAAAATAATGAATAACTATTGCAGAATACATGATATGTTCAACGTAAAATCGTGGAAGTAACCTGGGTGGACCATGTCTCTCCCCGGATCAATTATCCCCACCGTCCCCTACTGGCCAACAACATCGACAACAATGGTGTCGCGGAGGGAGCAAAGGTGTCCATGGCATCGGCATCGCCATAAAAGTGTATCCCCGCTCCGATGGGTGACAATGGCGACAAAAATGATGACGTAATAGCTCATCGTCGTCGTCATCGTTGTTTCGATTTGTTCTCCCACATTGCTAGAACGAATCGTTGCACATTAAAAAAATATGTAATTTTCTCATCTCCCTTAAATCTGAATCTGTGTCTATTTTTTTTTATTTTGTGGAGAATAATTTCTCAGTGAGCCCTTCTTTTTGGCAGGTGAAAATTCCACGAACCGAGAAGATTTGCCAGATTGAATAAAAAAAAACTTTAGAATCCCACGAAACTCCTCGCCCTTGGAGAGGCAATTGTTCACTGGAAATTGAGTTAATGCTATAAAAAATTCAAAAAGGTAAGAGTTTTGACATTACTTTTCGGTCTAGACGTGCTGTTGCGCTCCTCTGCGATTCAGTTGTGTGGATGTGTGTATCCTTTTTCTAGCGCGTCGGAGGGAGGACGATGATGGGTTCTGAGTGCTCTCACCAAGCACGTAGTTCTCACACCTCACCAGAGCAGAATCACCCTATATGCATGGGAAAAGTATTCTGGAGCTTGCTTTTTCTCTTCTTCCAACTTGTCTCACTCTGCACTTGATGAAAATCTATCGGGAATTCACTTGGAAATTTCACCTTTTCGTCACACCGTGGTGGTTGTCGTCGTCGTCGTCGTCGCAATGGACGTTGGTTAATTTGAACACTAAATCTATATTCCTACGCGTAAACTTTCACCTCACAACTTGTCAGAAGGAATCATTCATCAATTAGATCACGGAAGTTCGCTTGTCAACTCTCGCTCAATTCAGCAATAAATCAACAAATTTCCCGAAACGATCCGCTTCCTATTCACTGGACACCGAAAAGCAACGACTTCACTTTGATCACCGCCCAGAAAACTCCATTCGAATCTAAATCAATTCACTTTTCGCAATAACTTTCCCTAACACACGGAACAATCAACACTTTTGCATTAGACTATCTCAAATTTTCATCAACAGGCTAGTGATATTTTTCTGTTTCAAACTCCTTGGCAGCAGCACTACATCAGAACACTATGAACGGCGCCATTTTCCTCACTGAACTGACCTGAAGAAGAAAAAATTTTGTGAATGATGTGGTTCTTAGAACCACCACCACCCACAAACACCCCAACTCGGCCCCGAAAGCAGAAACGCACTCCAACAAAATACAAGGATTCTCTCCCGCGCTCAGTGACTTCCAACAGCAGGACCACGCTCTCTTTCGCTACACGCCACCACACTTTGACTGCAACAATAATCGGACAACTAGAACGCGGCGGCGATAGACAACAACTCTGACTACGAAGCGACCATCCACAGACGATTACTCCGAACGAATGAACCGTCCTTCTGCAGCGGGATGGAAAATTGGACAAAGATCCTTACGCCCACCCACTACTGCTTCGGAGAAGGATACGCTCACTCTCAGAGTCTTCTCCAACCTTCTCGGACTCAATTCAGAGGTCACATGAGAAAGCCAAACGACAGACTCTCATCCTCATCCCGCCGTCGCCATGCCCTTCTATGTAGCGGCTGCAGTAGGAGCAGGTCACAGTATACATATGCTGCTCATTCGCACTGTGCAAAGACACGAATGTGGGTGGTTTGTTTGTGTAGGAGAGAAAGCGCCCGCATGGTTCTTTGTGGAACGTTCACACTCATACCGATGCAGAGGCGGAAGGTTGAGCTTTGTGGAGCTTTCAAGTAAATGGGGTGGAACTTTTCGGAAGTCTTTTGAATCGGTGGAGAACGCTTGGTGTTTTGAGCGCTTTCAATTCAAGACCAACAATTGAAATGGCCTTAACTCCATTATGTAAACAAACCTTGTAAGGCCATTTTCTCGCGAGCCGAAGTCCGCAAAGGCAAACTTACACAATGAACAGGTAGGGGAAATTCTCCTCTACCCGATTGTGATTTAGGTTTGCGAATGAAGGTTTCGGTTCGCGAGAAAATGGCCTTACAAGGTTTGTTTACAAAATGGGGTTAAGGCCATTTCAATTGTTTGTCTTGAATTGTTTATCGCGTTAAAAGGTCCTATCTGCTTTGATCGATTCTCTTCATCGACTTTCGGTTTTGATAACCAGGCTTGCAATTGCTCATTACAGCTAAAATGCTATTTTTTGTTATTATGAAACAATGGGATACTATAATCACCGACAAACCGACATGACTGACCATAGCAAAAACAATAAATTTACTGACCAAAGCACACTACTGACATCTGGCTCCGTGTTCGCGGGAAATATTTAGCTAATCCATGAACCCGCATGCATAAGTTATAATTTGGTTCGTGTCTGATCTAATCTGGACAAATTATTTTGATCTAGATCAAAAAATCCTATGGTTTTGACAGTTCGGATCACTGCACATTTAAATCGGCCGTTTACGATTTTCAGGCATAAGTCAGAATTGAGTGTCATGTCGGTTTGTCGGTGCTATAATGATAATTTTTATATGTAAGATGCAAGAAGGTGGTAAAGATTGTATATGACATATAAAATTTGTCAATTTGCTTGCAGAAGGTCAAGGTTATATTTTTTTTTTTTTTTTTTTTTCCTTGATTTGTTTTCCGTCGATCTTGTTTTCCGTGCTGAGCACCAATGCTACCGACGCCAGGGAGGCAGCTTCCACACCTGGACCTTACCTATCGACCCATCAACTCATGAACCGGGGACCAACAGCTTTACTTCCCATCCGAAGGAAGGCGTGATCAGAGATGTTATGCCTCAGAACATCCCGGCGGCGCCGACTGGGATTGAACCCAGGCCTGCTGGGGTGAGAGGTAATCACGCTTACCACTACACCACCGGCGCCGTTATCAAGGTTATATTGTCCGTGTGCACATGAGACCGACGACTGGGTAGCGTCGTCCAGAATGAACGCCTAGATCGGTATCGGCGCCTACTCGCCTGCGGGCTATAGTTTGCAAAGCACTTTGTTTCGGCGATAGACAATGGTCCGACCCGAGAAAATATAGACATGCACAGATAAGATAGGGACGATTAGAATAGTAACCAAATGTATGTTGATATTATTGTGAATTAAAATGAATTTTGTTAAATTATTACAATATTAAGTTAGTACCCTCTCTATCCCGCTGATTATTTTTTGTTAATTTTGGTGTGAAGGGCAAATCACTCTTTCGCAACGGAGTCGCCTCTGGTGTAAATGATGGGAACTCCAATGATGATTAATTAAATCTCTGAAGGAAAGCTTTGGTTAGCTTTGGTTCGGTGAGGGTAAAGTTAGGAATTATGGTCGTTCGAGTGCAGTGAGTCTGACTAATGAGAGTGAATTTGGGGACAGCCGGACCGTTTCCGATTCTTTTCAAGGAACGAACTGAACCTACCTGAGGTTAGGTCTCATACCGGGCAAACACACATTGGCGGGCGGTCCTCATTAGGGGTGGCGCTAAATCGCTTGTTTATCAAATCGGGTGCAGAACGGTATTCCTTGCGGTGTATTTTTCTTTGTGGAATTTGAACATTTTTGGTTGTAGAACAATAGAGGTAACTCCAAGACCAAAAGCTCCTAAAGAAACGTGCTCAACTTTTTGGCCCTGCTCTGGTACTATCACCGGTCCCAAGCGAATCGATGCACCCCTCGAAACATAGGAAAATCCACGAACCCCTCATTTCATCTGTCAACCTTTCATAGGGAATCAAAACAAACATTGTGTAGTACTAGAATTTTGACTAGAATTGGGTACGTTAATCGATTTGCTTGGGACCAATAGGCTAGTCAAGTAGGGAGCCAATTTCAAATCGATAGTTTCGTATTGATTGTTGAGAGTACCCCGTTCTAGTCAAAATTCTAGTACTGCACTATGTTTGTTTTGAATCGCTATGAAAGTTTGACAGATAAAATGAGAGGTTCATGGATTTTCCTATATTTCGATTAGCTTGGAACCGAAGATAGTGTCAGAGCTGAGCCAAAAATTTGAGCACGTTTCTTCGGAACATTCTGGTCTTTGAGTTACCTCTATGGTGGTACCAACCGGAGGAAACTAACGATTTAAAATTGGCTCACTACTTGACTAGCCTATTGGTCCCAAGCAAATCGATTAACGTACCCCATTCTAGTCAAAATTCTAGTACTACGCTAAGTTTATTTTGTTTCGCTATGAAAGTTTGATAGAAAAAATGAGGGGTTCGTGGATTTTCCTATGTTTCGAGGGGTGCATCGACTAGCTTGGGACCGAAGAGAGTACGTTTCTTTGGGACCATATGATCTTAGAGTTATCCTATAGTAATAGCAACAATCAATACGAAACTAACGATTTTAAATTGGCTCACCACTTTAGTAGCCTATTGGTCCCAAGCAAACGATTAACGTACCCTATTCTAGCTGAAATTCTATTACTACACTATGTTTGTTTTGATTCGCTATGAAAGTTTGACAGATAACATCAGGGGTGTGTGGATTCATGCAGAACATGCAGGGGTGAGTAAAATAGCTTGGGACTGCTTGGGACCGTTGTTCTGGTACTGAGTGAGCCAAAAATAATAATGATTTTCTTCGGGACCCAGTGGTCTTAGAGTTACCTCTATGGTAATAGCATAGAGGTAACTCTAAGACCACTGGGTCCCGAAGAAAATCATTATTATTTTTGGCTCACTCAGTACCAGAACAACGGTCCCAAGCAGTCCCAAGCTATTTCACTCACCCCTGCATGTTCTGCATGAATCCACACACCCCTGATGTTATCTGTCAAACTTTCATAGCGAATCAAAACAAACATAGTGTAGTAATAGAATTTCAACTAGAATAGGGTACGTTAATCGTTTGCTTGGGACCAATAGTTTAGTTAGTTTCGTATTGATTGTTGGTAATAGTGAATCAAAACAAACATAGTGTAGTACTAGAATTTCGACTAGAATGAGGTATGCTTATACAACTTGGGACCAATAGGCTAGTCAAGTAGTGAGCCAATGTTAAATCGTTAGTTTCCACTAGAAATACTCAGAAGGAGAAATGAGCGAAGATAATGTTTTGAGCCAAATGAACTGTCAAAACCTGAGTCAATCGAACATTCCCATTAGAATTTTTCCGAGGATTTCTTATTCTTACTACATTAAATTAGAGAGTATAGCAATCAAACAGAAATTCAATCACCTTTGTTTCGAGTACTTCTCAAATTCAACTACTTTTTGGAATACAAAAAATTCTAACTCTCTTCAGGCATAACATTTGATAACGGCACAAAAGCATTTGTAAACAAACTTTCTTAGGCCCTTTACACGCGAACCAAAGTACGCCCACGCAAACCAATACCACTTTCGCAAAGGTGATAGTTGCCCCTACCCGACGATGTTGTTGGTTTGCGTGGGCGTACTTTGGTTCGCGTGTAAATGGCCTTAAAAAGATTGTTTACAAATGCTTTTGTGCCGTTTTCAAATGTTATGCTTGTATTGATTGATTGATCTTAGTTGGTTAATTAAAGGCATAAAAAAATGTGCAAAATATTGCGATGCACTAAATTATTATTTTGAACGTAAATCGAATCAAAAGTAAGTTATGTGAAATGCTAGCTTCTAGCAAAGGTTGCAAGATAATTTAGGTACGAATCCCTGCTACCGAATTGTATATTTTGTTTTCTCCGCCCATCTCTCCCTCTGAGTATTTCTAGTTTCCACCGGTCGCTATCATTCAGTTTGTTGTGCGCAAACGCTTATAAAACTGATTCTACATTAAATTTTGTTGGTGTCTTTAGTCCATTTATTTTTTATGAGCCAAAAAATAAATGCATCGAAGACAAAAATAATATTTAACATAGTTTTAAAGTGTTTTTTATTATTATTATTATTATTATTATTATTATTATTATTATTATTATTATTATTATTATTATTATTATTATTATTATTATTATTATTATTATTATTATTATTATTATTATTATTATTATTATTATTATTATCATTATTATTATTATATTTAATCATCTTGAGAAGTTATTGTATACATAATCTGCTACGCCCTAATTCGAGCTCTATCTAGACTTGCGAATCACCCCTCATCGGAGTGACTTCTTTTCTCCACCATCAATTGAAAACGGTCTATCAGCTGTTGCAAACAAGATTTTGTAAATATTTTTCTCGCCAAGCAAAAGCCCCCAACGCAAATAAATTAAATCACCGTGTAGAAAAAAGTTTCCCCCTACCCGATAATGCTGTTGGTTTGCATTGGTGGCCTACTCTTTGCAAGGAAAGGGCTTGCAAAGTTGTATTTACTAAGATCTTTTCAATTGTTGGTCGAGATTTTTGATGCGTTCAACATTCGCCAGCGTCCACTCCCTCGGACGTTTC